TTTGGCCCCTTATATAGAGCTCTTACACTAGTTGGTGAAGGGATTGGTGGAGACTATTTGGTGGTGGGTGGACACTATTAGAATGGTGACTTGGTAGGTGGAAATAGCTGCTGATTTCTAACATAGATTTCTTCCCTTGTATATTTCAAGTTATGTGAATTATAGGCATAAAATAGCTGCTGATTTCTAACATAGATTTCTTCCCTTGTATATTTCAAGTTATGTGAATTATAGGCATAATTTTTTAGCCTTTTATTTGATAAACCTCCTTTTGTTCTCTTGGACTTTGCAGGTGGGAAGTCCTCTAGATTTCCTCTTTTTGTTCTCTTTGTTTTCCTTTGCTACTTGGATTGGATCTTGTTTGGGATACTTCATACACTCATCTTTGGCCACTTATATAGAGTTCTTACACTAGTTGGTGAAGGGATTAGTTGAAACTATTTAGTAGTGGGTGGACACTATTAGGACGGTGGCTTGGTAGGTGGGGATAGCTGCCGATTTCTAACATAGATTTCCTTCATTGTATATTTGTTATTTGAATTATAGGCATAATTTTTTTGGCCTTTTATTTGATAAACCTCCTTTTGTTCTCTTGGACTTTGCAAGTGGGAAGTCCTCTAGATTTTCTATTTTTGTTCTCTTTGTTTTCCTTTGCTACTTGGATTGGATCTTGTTTGGGATACTTCATACACTCATCTTTGGCCCCTTATATAGAGCTCTTACACTAGTTGGTGAAGGGATTGGTGGAGACTATTTGGTGGTGGGTGGACACTATTAGAATGGTGACTTGGTAGGTGGAAATAGCTGCTGATTTCTAACATAGATTTATTCCCTTGTATATTTCAAGTTATGTGAATTATAGGCATAATTTTTTTGGCTTTTTATTTGATAAACCTCCTTTTGTTCTCTTGGACTTTGCAGGTGGGAAGTCCTCTAGATTTCCTCTTTTTGTTCTCTTTGTTTTCCTTTGCTACTTGGATTGGATCTTGTTTGGGATACTTCATACACTCATATTTGGCCACTTATATAGAGTTCTTATACTAGTTGGTGAATGGATTAGTGGAGACTATTTAGTGGTGGGTGGACACTATTAGGATGGTGGCTTGGTAGGTGGGGATAGCTGCTGATTTCTAACATAGATTTCCTCCCTTGTATATTTGTTATTTTAAGGACTTCAAATTTTGGAGGATAAGGGGCTGCATCCCATTCGGCAGGATAGGGTCTGATAACTCCCTCATCTTGGAGCTCGCTTCTGTTAGCAATGGCTTTAAGGCGGGCTTTCAATTCTTCCATTTTGGCAGACTGAAGATTCTGCTCGTTCTCAGTCTCTCTTCCTTCATCAGAGGAAGATTCCAGGCTGTGGGCTTCTTGGTCAGAAGCCGCATCATCAACCACTTTTTCCTTCCCTTTGCTTGTGTGAGGTCGAGATGAAGACGCTTTTCCTCTCCGGGAAGATTCTTGCCTAAGCGGTGGATCTGTCTCCTGAGATTTGGCCTTGTCTGCGACGATTTGAGTCAAAGTGGTGGGTGGACACTATTAGGATGGTGGCTTGGTAGGTGGGGATAGCTGCTGATTTCTAACATAGATTTCCTCCCTTGTATATTTGTTATTTTAATTATAGGCATAATTTTTTTGGCTTTTTATTTGATAAACCTCCTTTTGTTCTCTTGGACTTTGCAGATGGGAAGTCCTCTAGATTTCCTCTTTTTGTTCTCTTTGTTTTTCTTTGCTACTTGGATTGGATCTTATTTGGGATACTTCATACACTCATCTTTGGCCACTTATATAAAGCTCTTACACTAGTTGGTGAAGGGATTAGTGGAGACTATTTAGTGGTGGGTGGACACTATTAGGATGGTGGCTTGGTAGGTGGGGATAGTTGCTGATTTCTAACATAGATTTCTTCCCTTGTATATTTCAAGTTATGTGAATTATAGGCATAATTTTTTTGGCCTTTTATTTGATAAACCTCCTTTTGTTCTCTTAGACTTTGCAGGTGGGAAGTCCTCTAGATTTCCTATTTTTGTTCTCTTTGTTTTCCTTTGCTACTTGGATTGGATCTTGTTTGGCATACTTCATACACTCATCTTTGGCCCTTATATAGAGCTCTTACACTAGTTGGTGAAGGGATTGATGAAGACTATTTGGTGGTGGGTGGACACTATTAGAATGGTGACTTGGTAGGTGGAAATAGCTGCTGATTTCTAACATAGATTTCTTCCCTTGTATATTTCAAGTTATGTGAATTATAGGCATATTTTTTTTGGCCTTTTATTTGATAAACCTCCTTTTGTTCTTTTGGACTTTGCAGGTGGGAAGTCCTCTAGATTTCCTCTTTTTGTTCTCTTTGTTTTCCTTTGCTACTTGGATTAGATCTTGTTTGGGATACTTCATACACTCATCTTTGGCCACTTATATAGAGTTCTTACACTAGTTGGTGAAGGGATTAGTTGAAACTATTTAGTAGTGGGTAGACACTATTAGGACGGTGGCTTGGTAGGTGGGGATAGCTGCTGATTTCTTACATAGATTTCCTTCCTTGTATATTTGTTATTTGAATTATAGGCATAATTTTTTTGGCCTTTTATTTGATAAACCTCCTTTTGTTCTCTTGGACTTTGCAGGTGGGAAGTCCTCTAGATTTCCTATTTTTGTTCTCTTTGTTTTCCTTTGCTACTTGGATTGGATCTTGTTTGGGATACTTCATACACTCATCTTTGGCCCCTTATATAGAGCTCTTACACTAGTTGGTGAAGGGATTGGTGGAGACTATTTGGTGGTGGGTGGACGCTATTATTAGGATGATGGCTTGATAGGTGGGGATAGCTGTTGATTTCTAACATAGATTTCTTCCCTTGTATATTTCAAGTTATGTGAATTATAGGCATCAACTTTTGGCCTTTTATTTGATAAACCTCCCTTTGTTCATTTGGACTTCGCGGGTGTGAAGTCCTCTATATTCTCTCTCTCTCATGCATCTCTAATAGAAGCGCTAAAAAATCGAATACAAAATTAGTACACACGAATTCTAAAAGACTACTCAGGTCTAGATTTCTCTCTGTTATCCGAACAAATCAGATCACACTGAACACTTTTTTTTATTAATGAAACCACCCGCAACAAAGTTTTTATTGAAATCAAAACAAGTCCTTAAACACATTTTCCACATTCATGGTGACAATATAATTCTCTTATCTTATCACCAATGTCAATTGAAATCAAGCAAGTTTTCTATTTTTTGTCATTCACCCAAGTTCAAACGTAACACAAACTTTATAGTTATCAAATAAGCTTTGATTCAAACACGACTCAGTATTGAAATCAGACCAACACAAATAGGAAATTAATACTTCATTAATCATATATCTCACCTCTCATACACGTATACATCCGGATTTAAAAAAGGAACTCTCGTCACTCTCGCGCGCCCACAAAAAGAATCACAAGCTCGCCCCTCGATCTCTCACCCCAAACAACATCACATACATCATATGACATAATACTAAATGCTATAAATAATAAATAATACCCAGTATTCTTCGAAACCTCAACGAGCATAAAGAGCAAAGAGAGACACCAAAGAGGTCAAAACAAGAGCAAGACCACCCGAAGCAATTTTCGACGATCCGTTCTCCATCGCTGGCGTCGGAGCCATGCTTGGCTCTTGAGCGTTTGCCATGGCGACCATCACGAAGAGCACAAGAAGCACAACGGCCTTCATCGAAACCTTGGGAGCCTCCATTGTCGTGAGGAGGAGGAGGAGCACAAATTAGTTGCTGTTTAGTATATAGTTGAAATAAGAGAGGAGCTTTTGAGCTGTGCGGTTGGTTGCTGTGTTTTTGGGGGTATTTATAGATGAGGAAGCGTGGGATTAAAAGGGGGGAGGAGACGTAGCCGTTGTGAAAGCGGACGGAAAAAAGAAAAAATCAGCTGAAGTTTCGGCGTCATTGAGTGAAGTAGCCGTTAAGCGTGGACACGTGTCGGTAGATGGGTGGATGAGGAGGAGGGAAATAGTGAAGCGTGTCTTTCGTTTTGCCTCGGAGACAAAGACGATACGGCTCTCCTTTTCTTTATTGCGTCTGGAGTTCGAAATTTTGAATTGGTTAACGGGGGTTCTGTCGACAAATTGACCGCGTGACCTCATGGATCCATGGCCACTGATTGCTAATTACTAATTATGGGGGTTGGAGATTACTATGTCAATAGCTGATGCTGTTGATTAATTTTGATTTTTGTTTTATAATGTACCGACATGAAGCTCGGCTTTTATCGGTTTTTGGGCTGGAAAAACTATAGGGGCCTATTCAGAAAAGCAAGTACATAAATTTATGTGCCGCTATTAGCTTTAAATTAGTACAATCATCATAAATTATCAACAGAATATCTATAAATACGCACCCACCAACAATATATTGTATGGGTAAATATCATTAGTTATATAGGGATCATCACAAAACCCCCTCTAGCTTTTTTATTACAAAACCCTCTTTAACTTTGATAACCCTCCTTTAGCTTTTTTATTACAAAACCCTCTTTAACTTTGATAACGCCTAATTAAGGGGGGTTTCTGACAATTGTCCAATGTTGAGGAGGGTCTTCAAGAAAAATTCATACAAAACAACCACATACCAAAGACTTCCAACAGCCAGACTTGAAAATAATACCCCGGAAGAGCAAGAGCGGTCAAATACAACTTTTTCCATCCAAATATAATTTATACTGTTCTTCACGGTGAAGGGCCACACCAGCACATGAACTCGGAATTTATCATTCGAACCGTGCAAGACGGCGTGATTGATGCCATTGACTAATAAACGTGTCAAGACGAACAAGCTCTAATTCTTTCCCCCTGATCTATTCCATGTTACAGTGCTCACAAAGTATTTGGTGGCAGTAGATGCTCATCATTTCTAGTTACAGTTTTAGAAAAAATACACTTCAATAGATTCGTCCACAATTTCACCAATCAATCTAAACTTCAATACCCTGCAAAATAAAACTACAAAAAAAAAAGGAGAAAGACCTCTTCACTATAAACACTTCGAACTGATACACCAACAGAACTCATGACAACTCCTATGACATTCATCGAACTACAAATTCTAAAACGCATTAGGTTACTGCTGTCTAAATATGGCATTTACATATCATGGCTCCCAACCTTAATCCAGAGACGCGCAAAACCTTTTTTTTTTTTTAACGAAAGAAAATGAACCAAAATAGACAGAAAGAGAGGATTACGTCGCGTAACGGCTTAGTGGATCGGCTGTCTTTCCAGACCTAGCATCTGTCCACGCCTTCGCAATTGTCCTCTTCATATCGTCGTCACCTTCCTCATAAATGTTCTGAAAGGCAAAAATCATTTTGAAAATCATCAGCTCATGCAACTAATGAATTGCAAAAGAAATCAACCGGGGATTTAAAGAAGATTTTAATAAGTAGTAGTCACCTTCATCAAATCCATTATTCCAGCCATCGGGTCTTTATCTTTGTCAGTGCTTGGCTTCAACTGAAAATTAAAACAATGATAGGGTTAGATCCTAGATCTGTCAGCCTAACAAAACAAAAGTGGGGCCCACAAAGGCGGGCCCCACAAGAAGAAAAATCAAATTCGGTGGCAGCCATTGTTGAGAATTTATAAAGGATGTGGGTCCCACAAATATTTTATTATTAGTGGCGGGTCCCACAGATAATATTATATTTGTGCATAATGTTTTCTCAAACACTATAAATAGGGCCCTAAACTCTTAAGGAAATCTCATCCCAGAAACAACTCCTCTTATAGAAAGAGTAAGAGAAAACAAAGAGAGAGTTTGTGAGAGTTCTTGGAGTGTATCTGATCAAGAGAGGGTGTTCTCTTGGATCAATTCTTTTGGGATATAAAAGAATTTGGCGTCGTCGTTGCACCGTGGAGTAGCTCCGAAGGAGTGAACCACGTATATCTGTGAGTACTCTGTGTTGAATTTTGTGCCTTAATTTTGTGATTAAGTCTCCGTTCGAGGCGTTATTATTGGGGTGAATCCTAACAACTGGTATCAGAGCCTGACTTAGAATATATATATCTGCTTATCGTATGCTCTGTGGCTGCCACTAAAAGTGGATCCTCCACATCAGAAAATAAGTTAGATTTACTCTTTTAAGGCATTGGGCACTATTCACGTGTACGGCACTATTCACGTGTACGGCACTATTCACGTGTACGGTACTATTTACGGATACGGTACTATTCACGGATACGGTACTATTCACGAATACTGTACTATTCACAAATACGGGAAAGACGTAATCTTTCGCTATGGGATCTACAGTTGAAGACAACAGACTTCGAATTGAGAAGTTCGGCGGCCAAAATTTCAGGTATTGGAGGATGCAAATAGAAGACTATTTGTACCAGAAGGATCTCTTCCTACCCCTCCAAGGAGAGGCGGGGAAACCTGAGAAGATGGACGACGATAAGTGGAAGGTGCTCGATCGTAAAGCACTTGCCACCATCAGGCTCAACCTTCACCAGCATGTGACTTACAACGTCTCGCATGCGACCACCACCAAGGAGTTGATGGAGGCCTTGGAGGCGCTGTATGAGAAGCCGTCTGCTTCAAATAAGGTGTACCTGATGAAGAAGCTATTCAATCTCAAGATGCAGCAAGGAGCTCGCGTGGCGGACTTCTTGAACGAATTTCAGGCTGTGGTGCAACAGCTTGCTGCAGTAGATCTAAAGTTCGACAACGAGATCCAAGCTCTTCTGCTACTTTCTTGTCTACCAGATTCATGGGAGAATATGGTAATGGTGGTGAGCAACGCTAATGGCAATGACAAGATGAAGCTCGACACAGTGGTTGGAGCAATTTCTGGATGAAGAATCTCGCCGCAAAGTCTCAGGAGCTGAGGCCTCTAGCAGTGGGAGTGCCCTGCATGTCGAGGCACGAGGGCGTGCACAGAAGAAGGGTAGGGGACGACGAGGCCAATCAAAATCCAGAGGGAAGTCTAAAGGGCCTAACCCGAATGGTTACGGTGAAGGGAAGTGCTTCAGATGCGGAAAGAAGGGCCACTTTGCACGGGACTGCAGAGTTACTGTTCCAGCATCAGCAGAGGATGATCGGGCTGACGGTGCAGCCAATCTCATGCACGAGACGGATTCGGATGCACTTCTCCTATCCCTAGAAGACAAAAGTGATGCGTGGGTCATCGATTCTGACGCATCTTTCCATGCAACCTCACAACAAAAGCTGCTTTCATCGTTCGTGAAGAAGGACTTGGGGACAGTCTATCTTGGTGACGATCAACCTTGTAAGGTTTCCGGGAAGGGAAATTGTACCCTCAAGATGGAGGGCGGGACCACCTTGACGCTGAATGATGTTCGGCATGTACCAGATCTCAGGCGAAATCTTATATCAGTCGGGCAACTGACTGACTCCGGTTACAGAGTATCCTTCGAGCAGAGAAGCTGGAAGGTGTCCAAGGGTGCCCTGGTGGTGGCACACGGCAAACGCGAGGGGTCTCTCTACATCGCCAACGGGAAGATCGACCACTTGCTTGCCGCAGGACAAGCATCATCATCATCATCCGTCGACTGCATGACTTGGCATCGACGACTTGGCCACATGAGCGAGAAGGGGATGCAGATTATGACCGCGGGAGAGAGGCTTCCGGGTCTGAACAAGATCGATCTGACTTTCTGTGAGGACTGCATCCTAGGCAAACAAAAGAAGGTGAGCTTCAACAAGACCGGACCGGCTCCAAAACTGCAGAAATTGGAGTTGGTGCACACCGACGTGTGGGGACCTGCGCAAGTCCCATCTGTTGGTAACTCTCTTTACTTTGTCACTTTTATTGATGATGCTACGAGAAAATTGTGGGTGTTCTTCTTGAAGCACAAGTCAGATGTATTCATCATCTTCAAGAAGTGGCTTGCCTGTGTGGAGAACGAAACAGGCAATAAGCTGAAGTGCCTAAAGTCTGATAATGGAGGCGAGTATTGCAGCCAGGAGTTCGAGAACTTCTGCTCGTCTCATGGGATTCGGAGACTGAAGACCGTCCCAGGCACACCTCAGCACAACGGAGTGGCGGAGCGCATGAATCGCACTATCTTGGAGCGCGCCAGAAGTATGAGGATCCACTCCGGATTGCCCAAGAGCTTTTGGGCTGAAGCTGTCAATACTGCTGCATACTTGATCAACCGCGGGCCATCCGCGGCTCTCAATTATGGGATACCTGAAGAGGCTTGGACCGAAAAGAAGCTGAAGCTAGAGCACTTACGAGTATTTGGTTGTGACGCCTATGTCATGACCAATCCTGCAGACCGGTCAAAGCTTGATCCAAAGTCAAAGAAGCTCTCTTTCATCGGCTATGGAGGAGATGAGTATGGGTACCGTTTCTGGGATCACGATGCGCGCAAGGTGGTGCGCAGTCGTGACGTCGTATTCCATAAGAATGCGGTATACAAGACCAAAGAGGTGAGTGGGAGTCATCTATCTCCCCCTCTTTTTCCAGATATTGCTGACAGTGAGGACGGAGGTGAGATACCAATCAGCATAGAAGACAGAGACCAAGAGAACATGCGGGATGCACAGCAGCAGGATCCGGTGAGATACCAATCAACATAGAAGACGGAGACCAAGAGAACGTGCCGGATGCACAGCAGCAGGATCCAGCAGAGTTGCCGATCGCAATTCGCAAAGCTCCAAGAAATCCAAGGGTGCCAGAGAGGTACCTTTCCACCATGAATTACCTTCTCCTGACTGACAATGGTGAGCCAGAGAGCTATGAGGAGGTACAGCAGACTGGCAAAGCTCGGGGCGAGTGGGAGTCTGCCATGGAGGAAGAAATGAAGTCCTTGATGAAGAATGGGACTTGGGAGCTTGTAAAGCTTCCACGAGGGCGAAAGGCTCTTCACAATCGGTGGATTTATCGGGTCAAGGATGAAGCCGATGGACGGAGACGCTACAAGGCGAGGCTTGTAGTGAAGGGCTATGAACAGAAAGCAGGGATTGATTATTCTGACGTTTTCGCTCCCGTCGTCAAGTTGACCACGATCCGAACTGTGCTGAGCATTGTAGCAGTTCGAGATCTCCACCTAGAACAGATGGATGTGAAGACGACATTCCTTCATGGAGATCTGGAGGAAGAAATCTATATGCATCAACCAGTGGGCTTTGAGGAACGAGGCAGGGAGGGCCTCGTGTGTCGCCTACGCAAGAGCTTGTATGGCCTGAAGCAAGCTCCGCGACAGTGGTACATGAAGTTCGAAAACTTTATGGAGGAGAACGGTTTTCTCAAATGTGACACAGACCACTGCTGCTTCATCAAGAGATATGACGAATCCTATGTAATACTCTTGATTTATGTTGATGACATGTTGATTGCAGGGCCCGACTCGGCCCGCATTGAGGAACTCAAGGGGCGTCTCTCCGAGTGCTTCGAGATGAAGGATCTGGGTCCAGCAAACAAGATTCTGAGGATGAGGATCATCAGAGACAGATCAGCACGGAGGCTGAGGTTGTCTTATAAGACCTACATTGAGAAGATTCTTGAAAAGTTTGGCATGGAGAAAGCTAAACCGGTGGGCTCATCGTTTGCAAGTCATTTCAAGCTATCGAAGACCCAAGCACCAGAGACTGCTGAAGAGCACGAGTTCATGGCAAACATACCATATGCATCTGTCGTCGGGAGTTTGATGTATGCGATGGTGTGCACGAGGCCAGATATTGCACAAGGAGTAGGAGTTGTGAGCCGCTTTATGAGCAATCCAGGGAAACAACACTGGGGTGCGGTCAAGTGGCTTCTACGCTACTTGAGAAGCTCGTCCGACCGTTGTCTTGAGTATGGCGGGACGGATTTGCAACTAGAGGGCTTTTGTGATGCAGACTATTCCGGGGACATAGACTCGAGAAGGAGTACGAGCGGCTACATCTTCATCTTGGGTGGTGGAGCGATAAGTTGGAGATCCAAGTTACAGGATACTGTGGCTTTGTCGACAACCGAAGCCGAGTACGTGTCTGCAGCAGAGGCAGCAAAGGAGTTGCTATGGTTGAAGGCTTTTCTTCTCGAGCTTGGAGTAAGCTTTGAGAAATACTTCATCCACTGCGACAGTCAAAGTGCCATTCACTTGTCAGAGAACGATGCATTCCATGCTCGGACCAAGCATGTTGACGTGAAGCACCATGCCATACAGAGATGGCAAAGCAGGAACGAGTTCAAGCTTGTGAAGATTGATACGAGGTACAATCCCGCCGATATGCTGACCAAGCCAGTTCCACTCGAAAAGGTGAGGCTGTGTGCAGCCTCATATGGCCTCCGTTGAGAATGTTGAAGGCCGTGCAAGACGCCAAAGATACAAGACATCCGGATGATGCAATCAAGAATGGTGTGAAGATATGATTGATATTCAATCAAATCTTCAAGTGGGAGATTGTCAGCCTAACAAAACAAAAGTGGGAAAGGACAAAGTTAGGCATCGAAATTTTTGGCAGATTTATGTAGGGTTTGAAAAATTGAAAAAGTAGCGCCACAAATATTTTATTATTAGTGGCGGGTCCCACAGATAATATTATATTTGTGCATAGTATTTTCTCAAACACTATAAATAGGGCCCTAAACTCTTAAGGAAATCTCATCCCAGAAACAACTCCTCTTATAGAAAGAGTAAGAGAAAACAAAGAGAGAGTTTGTGAGAGTTCTTGGAGTGTATCTGATCAAGAGAGGGTGTTCTCTTGGATCAATTCTTTTGGGATATAAAAGAATTTGGCGTCGTCGTTGCACCGTGGAGTAGCTCCGAAGGAGTGAACCACGTATATCTGTGAGTACTCTGTGTTGAATTTTGTGCCTTAATTTTGTGATTAAGTCTCCGTTCGAGGCGTTATTATTGGGGTGAATCCTAACAAGATCGATGCCTAAAATGGAAAAATGGAAGGCAACTTGTACTCCATCACCAAGCAAGACATAATGTCATACTGAAATTGCGCTATCAAAGTAAGCCATACTGATCTATCCTGATTGCACATCAAGCTTTATAAACATGCCGAATGAAATAGCAGGTCCCCCGTGGTATAACTCTCATGATTTACTAGTACAAACGGACAAGCAACAATAAACATTAGTCAATTGGAAGAACAAGTCTAGAATCGCGACCATCACATGAACAATCTCCGTTTCTTTTTACCCTTCCACATCAACAAGTTCCCCCATTTCTTGTAAACAATGAAGGACCTTTCTTTTTACTTGACAGAATTTAAAGAAATCATATAACCAAAATTTAAAATATTGAACAAAAACAACAACTGAAATTTATAGCCTAATGTAAGTCCTTTCATAATTTCTCCAGTCATCACCTACCTTAACAGGGCTACAAAGCATGCAAATAGTACCACAGTAAGTGATGAAATTAACATACAAGGAGAAGGCTGGCTACTAAATAATCATGAAACTGAGCAAAGTAATTGGGAAAATTAAACAAAGATAGTAACGCATAAAATTTGTCAAGCAATGAAGAGCCTGTGTCAGAAAATCCAGCAAACAGGTAATGGTTAACAATTTTGCGAACATTAATACATAAGCAGTAGTGCCAGTTGCACGGAATTGAATTCGGTTAGTTTTCATGACTTCAAATGTTAATTACCCAAATATTCGTTAAATGTCCACGGATATCTCATTAGCAAAAAAGAAAAGTCAAAAGATTTTTGAGCTTGAGCTCTAGAGTTCAAACCCTTTGTTTGAAGTATTGTCTTACTTATTTTCTTTAACCTTTTACTTAACAGTTATTATGATATTTCACTATAAGAGTTATTATATTGTGTTTATAAATTATTAATATAATACTTATAAATAGCAATATTCATAATATTATGCACACATAAAAGATAATACAATTTAGTAATACAAATACAAAAGTAGAAAAACATAGACGAATATTTAATCATCAAAGCATCACATATACCTCTAGTTAAATTCTATTCGTTTATGAACCGAATTATCAAATTGAATGACCGAATAACTTGACGAATAATAACCAAACTGTTTACTAATTATTTGGTTCAATTGCACCCCTAACTATCACTTCTAAAACAAGCAGAAAATTTGAAATCCATTACCTTGTCTTCTTTGAAATGCAAGTCTAACCAGTTTCCTTTAGAAGCTTTGTAAAGTGTGATGATGACTTTTGAAGGCTTAACAAACACCTTGCATTTCTCAGGAACAATCTCCTTGTTCAGTTTGGGAATGCTACATCGGTAATTATTCCCTTGGACATCATGAAATTTTATGTCCACAGACATAGGCTTCAAAACTGTCTCCAGTTTTTCTTCCGCCACGCCTTCAAGGAACACATATACCTGATTGACAAAAAAAACATTTGCAAGATTAGACCTATGAGCACCATCATCTCACAGCAAAATAAATAAAAAAATAAATAAAAATAATAAGATAGGGGGAGGGAAAATTGCTGAATTGGTTTCCATTTAGGAAAATCAATTAATTAATTCAAATTAAAACTATTTTGACATAGCAAAACTCTTTACTGGCATGCTGAATTGCTTTCCATTTAGGAAAATCAGGAATGAGGGATATATTCAAATGCACAAGGAAATAATTCTTTGGAGCAATAATTAATAAGAAAAGGATGGATACCAAGAGATGAACTGAGAAATGTATAGGATATGTTACAGTTTGTGACAAAGAATATTAGAACATGGCATGGAACGAGCCTGATGGCAATGTTCACTGTACATCTCACCTGTTTATTTATTTATTTTTTTGGGAAAATTGCCTCTAGCCCCCAAAACGAGTCCAAGTGTCCCCCCAAGACTTTGTCAACGGTCCCAAAGCCCCCTCGTGTGATTTTCCTATAGCCCCCAAAACATCCCCCACGTGAAACGCCGTTTAAAACCAACAAAATCTTCCCAAAATGCCCTCATACAGCCTGTCATCCTATCAAGTCGGAAATCGGGGAATAGTACTGCAACATTAAATGGTGATTAGAATGTGGTTTTGAAGGAAAAAAACTCATTTCCCTCCAAATTATTACCATATCTACTCCCCCTCCCACAGTAAAACCATCTCCTCCCCGTTTGCTTACCCCAACTACTCCCCAGCCATTTAATTCTCCTCAATAAATCCTCTTCGATTTTTCAACTACTCTTGTTTAAAATGACGAATGTATCCCTTCTTTGCATGGTGACAAACACAAAAAGCAACGAAGATGGTGAGGGTGTTTTCGTAGTTATCAAAGAGACTAAAGAAATCATTAGCTTGAAATATCAAGTGTCACAAATACTTAAAATACCAATGCAATCTCTTTCACTGAAATTCATATGCGAAAGGGAAAGGAAATTTAGTTTTTCAATTAATAATGACGAGGACTTGAGGTTGATGTTCGAGTATTGTCGTCGTAATGGATTTACAGACATAAACTTGTATGCTACCTCCGCTGGGGAATCCTCAACTTCTCAGAACACCCGAACTTCTCCAGAAAATATGTAAGCATTATATTTTTAATTTTCTTGAATTAGCTGATACGTTATGAGTTGGTTGTTAACCTTATGCATTGGTTGCTGAGTGTTGACCTTTTTGTTTTGATGATATTTAACAAATAATTTACTACTAATGTGTTTGTCTAGTGTTTGTGTTTTATATTTATTCTAGATAAATAATCAGTTGGAGGTTGGATGGAATTGCGCTTCAACGATCATATCCAATGGAGGTTTGCGGAATAGTGGTTGAAGCCTTGCAATTCAAGTTGAAGATCCAAGTTCAAGCTTCGTCCATGTTACCAAGATTGAGTGTTATGAAGATCATTGCTTGGTAAATTAGTTTTAGGTTTATACATGTGTGTAGATACTTTAAGCTCATACATACACACACGTATTTGGTTTTTATATATATAGTCATATATATATACACAAGTTTTGGTTTTTTGATTTTCAAGTTTAAATATGAAACAAATGAATATAATTGGAAAGTACATACTTGTTTCATGTTTATATACTTATATATGATTTTATCAATATCAAGATTATATAGTTCAATGAAATCATGTTTATTGTTTTGAAAGTTTGCAAAACATGCATTTTTGTGAAAATATTGAGTTATTTGTTTAGAAATCATGTTTATTGTTTTGAAAGTTTGCAAAACATGCATTTTTGTGAAAATATTGAGTTATTTGTTTATGGACTTAACAATGTTTTGAAAGTTTGCAAAACATGCATTTTTGTGAAAATATTGAGTTATTTGTTTATGGACTTAACAATCATTATATACAACTTTTATTAAGTCTATATAATCATCTTATAAAGTTTCAAAACATGATTTAGTCAAAATGTCAAAAACAAGTGTTTCATAAAGAGATTTCTTATTTGGGAGGTGTTATTTGAAAACCGGTTTTTGTAACATGTTTATTTTCATGTTTACAAGCATTCCCCAAAATTTTATATTTTTCTGATTTTATTTTCTATTTTTAAAAAGAGTTTAAAAATCAATTTTACTATTCAAATCAGGCTGATAATGTGTTATCAGTCGACTGATGCAAGTGTTTGGTCGACAGAAGAAATCGCCTGGAATAGCCAATAGTTTCTGTTTCTTATTCGGTCGACTGACCAATCGACTGATAAGGTCATTGGTCGACTGACGAATTCATCAGCTGATGACGTGTTGCTGGTCTATAACGGTCAGCTCATCAGTCGACTGATGAACAATATTAGTTGACTGACGACCTAACGATTAGTTTTTTTAGCTTTCTATTTTTTTTATCTTTTTACTGAGTTTTGTTAGGGTTTCCTATAAATACCCTCACATATCCTCAGTTCATTCAAGCAGAAGAAAGTTTTTAAACAAGATTAAAAGGTGTTTAAGTTTGTTTTAGTGTTTGTTTTAAGTTTGGTTTTGCGAATCAATTTTCACAAGAGCGAGAGGAGATCACCATTTGTGTTTGAGCTTCAACTCTTCTCTCTCCCCCTCTTGTTATCTATAGAGAAGTTTTTCTAAACTCTATTTCTAGATATTTATTGTTTTGTTCATAATTTCCATAAGCTAGAATATTTATTTGAGTTTAGTTTGTTTTGATTATACTCTTTGTTCACACACAACCTATTGAGCTTATTGTATTTACATTCATAGTATAATTTGAGGTTATGTGTTTGTGACTTAAGAGTGTGAGCTTTCATTGTATTCTCATCCATAGTAGAGAACAAGCATTGTTGTATTTGTGCTTAATTGTGAGATCACTTTGTAATACACTTGTACACCAAGAGAAGTATGTGGTAAGAGACGGGGTCGTCCCAAGAGGAGTGGGGTAGGTAGTAATGCCTAGAGGTAGATTGTAATTCCTAACACTTGAGAAAGACACAGGCTAAAGATCAACACTTAGAGGGTGTAGAGTGTGATTGCAAGAGTGTAAGATTATAAAGTTTTCGGTGAGCTAGAAAACCGAATGTGAGGTGTAAACGTTATTCGGATGAGCTTAAAAAACCCGGTTATGATAGTGGACTTCTCCCCGAGAGTAGGGAGCGGAGACGTAGGACGGAAGGTCCGAACTCCGTGATCATTTCTTGTGTGTTTGAGTTTGGCTTGTACACTTATATTTTATTTATCTCTATCGTCATTCTCTCATTGTTTATATTGCCCACTATCTAGTTTATTTTGTTTGTGTTTATTTCACCCTTGTGTTATTTGTATATCCTTACACATATATTGTTCATATCTTATTTACTAGGATATATTTGTTATAAGTTTTAATTTGGCATAAAATTAAATTAGATTAGCATAAACCCTATTCACCCCCCTTTAGGATTCTTTCCTAGTGACATTAGGGTACCAACACTGAGGTTATGAGTTAGTTGTCAAGATTATGGGTTGATTGTTAAGGTTATGTGTTGTTTGCCTGATTTTATGAGATAGTTTTAAGTTTGTTGCTAAGGTTATGGGTTCGCTGTTACGTATACGAGTTGGTTGCTAAGGTTATGCGTTTGTTTTAAGTATACGAATTTGTTAATGTTATGCGTTTGTTGTTAAGTATACGAGTTGGTTGCTAAGTCATACTCGAACATTTTCGCAATTGAATAGTATTGAAGTACTAATCTAACTTCAGCAGCACTATCAAATTTCTGACCAATTTCATGTATGGCTATGTGCCACTCAGCTGGGATCTTGGTTTGGTTGTTAATCATGTCTTCCAACAGCATGATCGAGTCGTCAGTGGGATTATCATTAGGAATATGCTCATCATTACATGTTTGGGTGAGCGTGACAGTTGCGCATCGCAAATTTTCTATCGGTATAGACCTGTAAAAGTAAAAAAGTACATTAATACTTAACAGCCCATCATGACCTTAGCAACCAGCTCATAAGGCTAAAAAAAACCAAGCTATATCTGCTAAGGTTAACAACAAAATTATAATCACAACAACGAACTTCTAACATTAACAGCCGACACATAACCTTAACAACAAACTCTTAACATTAACAACCAACTCATAAACTTAACAGCCGACACATAACATTAACAGTCGACACATAACCTTAACGACGGTCTCGTAACCTTAACAACAAACTCGTATACTTAACAACAAACGCATAACCTTAGCAATCAACTCGTATACGTAACAGCGAACTCATAACCTTAGCAACAAACTTAAAACTATCTCATAAAATCAGGCAAACAACATATAACCTTAACAACCTATCCATAACATTGACAACCAACTCATAACCTCAGCAACCAACGCATAAGGTTAACAACCAACTCATAACCTATTAGCGAACTCATAAGGAAATTAAAAGTGAAATGCTTACACATTTTCTGGAGAAGTTTGGGTGTTCTGAGAAGTTGAGGATTCTCCAACGGAGGTAGCATACAAGTTTACGTCTGTAAATCCATTACGACGATAATATTCGAACATCAACCTCAAGTCCTCGTCATTATCAATTTAAAAACTAAATTTCTTTTCCCTTTCGCATATGAATTTCAGTGAAAGAGATTGCATTAGTATTTTAAACCTTTGTGACACTTGATGTTTCAAGCTAATGATTTATGTAGTCCCTTTGATAACTTCGAAAACACCATCACTCTCTTCGTTGTTTTTTGTGTTTGTCATCATGCAAAGAAGGGATCCATCCGTCATTTTAAACAAGAGTAGTTGAAAAATCGGAGAGGATTTATTAAGGAGAATTAAGTTGTCGGGGAGTAGTTGGGGTAAGCAACCGGGGAGGATATGGTTTTACTGCGGGAGGGGGAATAGATATGGTAATAATTTGGAGGAAAATGAGTTTTTTTCCCTCCAAAACCACATTCTAATCATCATTTAATGCTACAGTACTATTCACCGATTTTCGGCTTGATAGGGTGACAGGCTGTATGAGAGCATTTTGGGAAGATTTTGTTGGTTTTAAACGGCGTTTCACGTGGGGGTGTTTTGAGGGCTATAGGAAAATCGCATGAGATTTTGGGGGCTTTGGGACCGTTAACAAAGTCTTGGGGGCGGAACACTTGGACTCGTTTTGGAGGCTAAGGCAATTTTCCCCTTTTTTATCAAAAGATGTTAGGGTTGGAGCCTAATTATGATCCAATTAGTTCATTATGAATGGATTAGGGCTGAGAGCCCAAACCCACTATTAAAATAGGCTGGGAATGGACTGAAGAAATTCAAATGAATCCAAAGTCAAATCCAACATAAGTAAGTGATCCCACCCTGCTCTGAAAATCCACTCAAAGTTTAGCTCAGGATACTGAGAATTTTAGAACCATGCACAACAAAATCAGTCAACATCCATAGTTCCACACTTATTGTCTTCTTTTCTCTTTCTTTGTTTATCCTTTAGCTCTTCTCTATTCCCTTTCTGTGTAAGCTTTCTCTATTTCATTTCAACTAATGCAAACCTAAAACGAGTTATCCATAAAATATATGCACATAATGACTATGAACGCTAAGAGTGAACAGCAACACATAAGCTGCAACATGTAATCCGAGCCTTTGGGAACTCTAATGTTAATATATTCCATGAGTTTGAGCTGTAGTAATTCAAAAGATTACCCAATATGGTAAAACAGACCCAAACTCACGCAAAATATATTATAATGTTGGGAAAATAACTTGACCAGAAATCATAACCAGATGAAACATAGTTTTACTAACTACCTACTCCACTGAGAAAACAAGAAATTACCTATATATTCCATGTAGATATATCACATATGAACTCGTACTCTAGCAATACATGATTTTGAGGTCACATAGAAAAAAGGGCAAATAATGTCTAAGACCCCAAACTCCATACTCTACTTAAATTGTCCCTATATCTATACAGCACATTCGAATTCAAATCTGGCAAGATGTTAATTTACAGATAACCTCACCAAAATTGCAAATTTATTAAAAAAAACCTCAGAAGGTTAAGCTATAGACACGCCCATATGGATAACAAAAACACAGATTACTGCCTATTATTTATTCAAATGCCAACTACAGCAGCAGGGGGTTCAAACACTACCTAAATTAATAAATTAACATTTAGAGACCCAAATTCAAATACTCCTCAATCATCAAGTAAGAATCCAATCCTCCCTCTTTCTGGAAAAAAGGGCAGATAATTTCTCAACCTCCGAACTACAAACAAAACTTAAATTAGCACTACATCTATATCGCACATATGAATTCAAAACTGGTAATACGTTAATTTACAGATAACCTCTCCAAAATTTCAAATTAATAAAAAAAACTCTGAAGGTCAAAGAGTAGATATGCCCATGTGAATAACAAAAGCAGAGCTCACAGCTTAGCATTTATTCAAATGCCAACTACAGCAGTAGGGGGTTCAAACACTATACAAATTAGTAAATTAACAAATTCAAGTAAGAATTCAACTCTCCCTCATTCTAATAACCAATTCTAACTCGCATCCCTCATAAAGACGTGCCCTATCCCAAAACATATTTAGTTCGATTCATAACACGATATATTTCAAGCAAAGCAACTAAACACAATTACATCAGAAATGACGACGTCAGAAGAATAACTAAGTAAACAAACGCACCTTAATTTTATCATCGTCTTGATCCCAACTGAACTTATCAATAGTTACATATTTCAAAGCACTCGAAGCGCCTCCGATCGATGCCGATGACGATGACGATGCCGCTTGAGCATTGGCCTTCGCAATCTGCTCAACAAATGACAGTAAATTCAACAAAAAAAAAGTGAATCGAATGATCCCGATCTCAAAACCCTACGAAATCGATTAAAACAAGAGGGGTTACCTTCGCATCGACGTTTCGAATCTCGGAGGAGAGAATAGAGAGAACGCGAGGTCTCTTGGCGATCGTCTCCAGATGCTTCAGCTCCTCTAGGTCCAGCCTGAGCTCTTCCGCCATTATTGAACTTGCTATAAGGATTGAGAAAGAGTAGGTTTTTTTTTTTCCTTTTTTAACCCCCTCGGTTTGGAGGGAAGTTCTAGAAAGGGAAGAATGAAGACGAAGCGCTAGAAGGGAATTGAGAAGGTTCTTGTAGCTGAAATCGGATAGCCTTTGCGTGTTGCCGAAGCCCAAGGATTTATGCTTTATCTTTTACATATGCCCCAAACAGGCCCAATCCAAACTCTTCTTTTTAATTTTGTTTTCTTCTTACCTTGCAACGGTCCGTTTGTTTGCTAAAAAAAAATCGGAAAAAGGTGCCACCTCAACTTTCAGAACAAGTACCACATGAGTTTTTGTTTTCAAAAGTTTTCCATTTCTCATGCTTGTTTCTTTTTTAAGGAGCTGTTTGGTTCGCTATTATAAGGGGTGGAAAACTCAGAAAACCCCTCCACGTCAGATTTTTAGCTCTCATTATAAGGGGTGGAAAACTCAGAAAACCCCTCCACGTCAGATTTTTAGCTCTCCACGTCAGTTTTTTTGTTTCCGTCCATTTCTTTGTGCCGCTTTGGTTCGCTCGGATGGAAGAGAGAAAACTCTGCTAAAATCGCCACCAACTAAGATTTTTTTTCCTCTCCGGTTTCCTTCCCCAACCAAGTAAAATTGATGAAAACTCTACCACGTCAGATTTTTTTCCTTCTCTGCTTTGTTTACAAAAGTTTCCCTTTTTTTCTATGCGAACCAAACACAAGAAAAATAAATACATTGGTTTCCCACCATTTTTTATGTGCGAACCAAAGCAAAACAATCTATTTCTTAAAAAAGTTTGGAAAACTCAAAACTTGTGTTTTCTTTACATGGAATTGCATTTCCCTATATCAAGGAAACGAACCAAACAGCCCCTAAATTTCAAGAAATGAAGTGCCATGTAGGATGCCACATCATAATTTTAAGAAATGTGTTTTCACAACAAAAACCTCTGAAAACACTAAGAAATATCACTTCTTTGAATTATTAATTAGTAAAAGCACTGTTGGAATAGTGAAGAAGAATAAAACATAATATTTAATACCCTGGTTTCTCATTTTCATTTTTCTTGTTCTCAAACAAACATAAGAAATAGAAATCAAGGCACTGTTACTATGGAGGCTTTTTTGTCTGTTTGTGTGACTTGGCAATGAAATGTGGAGTTTTCTTTGCGAAATAAACAAAAAAAAACTAGGAAAACTCTTGAAATGTGCCGAAATCATTTCAAGAGGGAGTTATCCATTTCCTTTTTTTTTTTTTGGAAATAACCAAACAGGCCTTAAACAGAAAAAGGGGAAAAAATTGCTACCTCTGATGTCAGGTCCCTCGAGCAATGATTCTGGTGCACGTGGCCAAATCACCTTAAGCGAATTCTTTTCCATTTTATATGCGATAATAACTAACTTTCTATGTATCATTTCTCATACGTCTTGCTTGATATGGAGGAATGGAGTCAAATGAGTATGAAATGAAGTTAGGAATAGAATAGAATTGATATGAGAATGGAATGCTTGTTCCTATTTTTATGTTTGAGTACGAATAGAGAATTATGTGGGAATATATATAATGACATATCCAGAATTTATTTTGCTATTTGTACTCTCACTTAAGAAAGAACATCAATTCATTGATAACTCACTGGGAATAGCAATTCTCATATTAAGTGGGAAATAATAAGAAATGAGAATAACATTTCTAGCATAAAAAAACACATCATGTTTGGTAAGCATAAATGAGAAGTTAGAATTACATTCCATTCTCACTCATTCCCGCATACCAAACGAGGCGTAATTGTATACGCACGTAAGTTACGGCATCTTCATTTATTCCATATTTTTTTTGTGTTCGTTTATTGTTCAATGTTATGTTTATTGTTCGTTTATTGTTTCATCTACTTTTTACTTATATACCCCCTACTTATAATTGGTCTCAAGAAAACACTGTAAAGTTTATTTTAACTTGCACTTGTATACTCTCACTTGATTTTGGTATCAATTATATAATATACACCCTAAAGTTATTAAAACTTGCACTTATATACCCTAAAGTTTTTAGAACTTGCGCTAAATACCCTCAAGCTTGTCATAACTGAGAATATTTATGTGTAAGTTTTAAAAACTTTAGGGTATTTAAGTGCTAGTTGTAAAAACTTTAGGGGTATTTAAGGCTAGAAAAAAAAGGTTAAGGTATTTCTTTGCTATTAAATACAAGTTGAATTATATAAGTGAGAAGTAGGTGAAACAATAGGGTATATAAATGCTACTTAGCCTTAAAAGGCACATACAACCCTAACCCAAAGCGGACGCCCAAAATCAAACCCAACCTCGGCCTCGGATAAGATCAACGATAAACCCAGGCGCACAGCCTTACAGGCTCTTGAGGTGCCGCTTGTTTCAGGTTTCAAACCTGTGGTCTTCTGATAACAAACCGTTTCAATTTTTGGCTGAATCCTCGCCTCACAACGTCAGCGTATTTTTAAAGTCTTGGGCCCATCTTCACTAATTCAGTGGGCGGTCTGTTAGGAATTTTAATGCCTAAATCCCTAATTGCAACAGAAACGCAGAATAGAAAAGTACACCAAGATTTAACGAGGTTCGGCAACTGCCTACGTCCTCGGGAGCCACACAGATAATTTCTTATTAATTAAACAAGAAATTACAATTTAGGAGCGTATCTCAAAACTGAGATTTCTCAAATAAACACTGTAGCTACAGTGTTAATAATCAAAGGGTATGAACCCTTTCAATTTCTCTCACTTGAGAATAAATAACCCCACAATTAAAACCCCTCTTTAATACCCCTTTCTCTCTCTTCTTTAATCCCCTATCTCTCTCTTTTCTTGAATCCCTCCTTTTAATCTCCCCTCAAAATCCCTAAGTTCTGAGCGCTGGAGAAAAAAGGAACGAAGATGAAAGGAGAAAATCGCCGCCAGAGAAATCGGAGGAAAGGGGGGGAAGTCAGCCACAGAAACCCTAGGGATGGGGTTTCTTTTATAAGCGGAGGGAAGAGCTGGCGACAGCCTGTCGCCAGCGGACAAGCTTGACGCAAAGGTGGGGTTAACGCAGAGGTCGCTCGACGCCAGCTTCGCACGAACGCAGAGGTCGAAAGGGGGAGGCGAACGCAGAGCTCGAGCCGCCAAAACGCCAAGATCAGGTCAGCGTTCGCCTGGGGTTTCTCCGTCGACTTCGCCTGAAGTTCGTCGCCCACGCACGCCTGCAACATCCATGAGCTCGCCGGAGCTCTTCGTCGCCGGAGGTGAGTTTGATCTACACCTTCTTCAACACGGTCAACACAAAGATCTCATGATCACCTGTTATATATATTGATCTCCATCAATATCTCCATCCAGATCAAATTTGAGAAAAAAAAAATTCAGATAGCAAAAGAAATGGAGGCGACGGTAGCTATGGAGAGCTTCATTGGAAAAATGGGTCGGAGTCTGTATGCTCTGTTTTGTTTGGGTTTGTTGCTCATTGCTGCTGCTGTTGTTCCCCGTAATCATCCTGGTGAGCATAGTAATTGAGATATAATTTATATTGCTTGTCTACATAATTCTCATTGTTATTGTGGAATAATGCAGAGCAATCAAGCACTAGTGAAGCCAAGGAGAGGACGAGGAGGAGGCTGGCTGCTCTACAAGCTGCAGATTTCTAAAACCGTTTTCTTCACCTCCCCCTTGAGAATTTGTCTTTAAATATGAATGAATCCCGAGAATGAGAGATGTTGGTAATTTTTCATATGAGTCGCGTCGAACCGGATGGATTTGGTTGATGAAATGAATGGAACTGTTGGTTCCCATCATGTACCTAAGTAGCTCGATTTAGAGCACCAAAGGCGAAGAATGCAAACTTAAAAGAAATAAAATGTTAGTCGTGATCGCGCATAAATGAAGGAGTGGGAGTTTGGTATCTTCTATAAACTTTCATGATATTTTGCACTGGAGAAACGCAAGTGTGGGTCCTTTATCATGAGCTGCTATAAAAAGTTGTTTCTGGTGAGGGTGCTATAAAAAAATTATTTGAGTATCTGTAGACCCAAAGAATATTAAAACTGAGATTGGAAGTACTTGTCCTTGCTAAAGCAAGGAACACCACGCAAATAACCGACTCTGCTTGAATATCCCCATACATTCACTCAATACAATCGAGCTATCGATCAATGACAAACACTAATGAGGACAAAAAGAAAATTAACCGAAAATTTTCGAAGTCTTATATCCTGCGTCACCCAGTTAAATTGGTCTATACTAAGCAAACCATTGCAACTTTGTCCACCACAAGAACTCAAAAGAACAGGGGAGGAAGCATATAGACCAAACTGTTGTGCATTGCATTACTCTGTAAGTAAAACTATCACCTTTCTTATCTATCCATCCACACTTCTAAAAAATAATATGCCCACCATGCTCAATCCCAACGTCCTTTCTACCTTTGCCCTTTTTACATTCCTATGTAGTAAACAGCACGCACGGGTCAGAAAACATAATGGAAAAAATAACCAAAAAAAAAAAAAGAAACAACAAAATACATAGGGTTAATTGCATATAGACCCCCTGTAGTATTGAACTTACAAACCCTGTAGTTTAATTGCTGCAGATAGACCCCGAGCTGTTGTTATTATTATAATTTCGACTCTTTCAATGTCTGCCAACGACCAAGGGCAAAAGGGTCAAAAAAAATTAAGCTTTGGGTGTATCTGCGACAACAAAACTACAAGCGCAATAGCTGCAAAACAACAATACTACAGGGGATCTATGTGCAATTAACCCAAAAACATAACATCACTAGTTTTCACCTCCTGAATACATCAGAAAACCTCTACTACATCCATGTTACACCCTGCGGACTGCTTCTTGCTCGCTAATGAAACCGCCATAGCCAGCATCATTTGCTCTTCAAAACTCTCTGGAAGAAGATGACCAGCACCCATATTGCCACCCTCAACAAGTGAAAGTGAAGGGCCCAGTGGGTCGACCGTGACATCTGAGCTGGCGTAACTGGTGCTCACCTGCGCCACCTCAGAACCGTAACCCTCTTCTCCATGTACCGCTCTCCCATTGTCAGGTGAAACCTCGATCCATCTCTCTGAAGGGTAATTGTTTACTGCGTGCTCTTCTCTTGAAGTTAGAGTACCT